TAATTTTGTATCTCCAGCTACAATTTACCGAGCTCAGGTGATCAATAGAAGTAAAATGGGAAGGAAAATAGAAGCGTAAAAAGTCCTCCTCATTTACTTTTGCACTGGGCTAGTAAACTGTTGCCTTCAATTGCCCATGGCAGTGTCAAAACTTTGGAAGATAGAACTGCAGTTCTAGAGACATGCAAAGATTTTGAGCATTTGTTTGGCATACCTGTTATACTGAAAGGCACTCGTTAACAGACGGCTGAAGTATTTCTTTGGAAAGTGGACCAATTTGGGCTACGTGACAATATCACTGGTGTATCTTTTGATACTACAGCATCTAATATAGGACTGATTCAAGGAATACATAACAGAATTGAAAAAGGAATTTGGACAAACACTGGTTTGGACAAATGCCTGCATCACACCCATCAACTAATACTGAAAAGAGTGTTTGAGGAGTGTTGCAGCATACCATCAAGTACTGATATCCAGAATTTTCAGAATTCTAAAGTCTGTGGGCTTCACTTGATAAGAAATCATATACAGCGGCTGTTCGCACATTTTTTAGATGATTTTGGTAAGCGGTAAGAAAAAATTGTTTGCTGCAAAAAAAGGAATTGCAATTGTACTATATTTTTAAAAGTCAAAATTATCTTCTGTGGCTTGAAAGTTTTCTTTTTATTCAAAATGGCAAATTTAACAAAGCAGTGGCTTGAAGGCTACATTTACGCTCTTTCCGAAGAGAAATATGCATACTCCGTTATCCAAAAACAAAGTGAGAGTCATGGTTTTGTGATATCTAAAGTGTCGATAGGTAATATCATCAACAAGAAAGGACAAAAATGTCCATTTGGAGCCTCAAGTGGGACGAAAATTCCAAACAAGTATCCAGGGAAAAAACAGACATCTTCGACTATTGCAAAGGTACGTTGTTTAATGTTAAAAGAAAATCCCCCTAGTCAAAGGACAGTCGAAAAATCATTAAATGCTTGGTGTCCACTGTAAACAAAATGATAAATGTTGATTTAAATCTTAAGAAAGCGAAAAAACGCAATGTGCATCGTCTTCTTCCAAAGCATATTGCTCAATGCAGGACACGCTGCAGAATTCTATCTGAGAAACATTTATCCAAAGAAAAATGGAAAACGATTGTCACAATAGATGAAGCATGGGTGTATTTAAATGATTGTAACAAAAAAAAAAAAAAAAAAAAAAAAGCTATTTGTTATCATAAGAGGGGAGAAAAAAAATTTAAGTATATGGTTCAAAGAATAGAAAGAAAGTTTTTCTAAGGGATTCATGATTGTTGCTGGTTTGTCTTATAATGGCAAGTTAAAAATAAAGAGAGTGCAAAAAAATGTCAAGATTAACTCCAACTACTATCAGGAACATATTTTATCACCAATTTTTCTGAATAAAATACCATCGCTTTACCCACAGTGCCATCAATCTGTGAGACTCCATCAGGACAAAGCAGTCACACATCAAAATCCACCATAAATTTCCTAAAAGAGATGGTACAAAAAACTGATATCAAGGCTGTACCCTTCACTGATATCCCTACTAAATCTCTCAATGTGTCACCTATGGATTTTTGTGCTTTCGGACTTTTAAAAACTGCATTATCCAAACGTTGTCCCAAAACCCTAACAGGACTCTGGAAAGCTGTTCGAGAGGAATGGGATAGAATATCTCTTCTGCCACTTCAAAAGGCATTGTTATCCTGGAAATAGCAGTGTCGAAAGATAGTTCAGAATAAGGGATGTCAAATAGAACATTTAAAACTCAATAATCTTATGTAATTTAGTTTTGTAAATACAATATACATCGTCTAAAAAATGTGTGAATAGCCTCTGTAGGACAATGATGGATGAAGAAAGTCCCATTCAAGGCTTTTTAGAAGAACAATGACTGAAAATGGTAAACTATATCCAAAATATCCTAAAAGATGGAAGTCATCCCCAAGTGAAGATTACAAAGAGTTATTAAAACTCTCATTCCTGTACCTAGATACTTCACTTTCAGGATCCCAGGGGCTCTGTATCAAGCAAGGTGTATGGCAAAGGGAATATATGTACTAAAATTGTCATCTTCACTAAGCAGTTGAATATTCCCCAAGGGAACTGAATGAAACAGGCAGTACATTTTCTCAGTCTCGTATATGTTCACTTTTGATATGAAGCAACTGCAGGTTGAGGAGCTCTGAAGAATGATTTGGATATGCTACAGCTTCTGAGCACACTTACCCAGATGCAGATTTGGCAAGATGGGCTTTTTGGAACGAACATATTACACAGGATAATAAGGAAAATATGAGAAAATTTTAGAAAGACAACAAAAAAAAAAAAAAAAAAAAGAAAAAAAAAAGAAAGAGGGGGGAATGAAACGATTAGGGGGGGACTTAACTTCTGAAGGGAAAGAACCTACTCATTTCATTACTAATAAAACAAAGACATTCTTTGAGTTATTTGGGATCCACGACGTGACAGAATAATGCAATGATTCTCTAAGAAGCCATGCGAATGCTCTTAAATGGTCAGTGATAATGTGGAAAGAGGAATGACTCTGAAAAAAAATTAATGAATTGGTCAGGGATGAACAACAAAAACAATTTTTGTTGATGGTAGCTGAGTATCACAGAAAGTTTTCACCAAGAGAACAAAAGAAAGGATAGCATTGTTCAAAATTGATTAATATAACACATGTTTAGTCTATCATACTACCTATTAATCTTAGTGTCTAGTTTTAATAATTTCTTAAATTTATGATTTCTAGTTTTCCTAACAAAAGTACTTAACACTGAAAAGTCATATTGCCTACTTTTACTGGCCTCTAATTATTATCCAATTTTCTTAAAATCTGCCATATACAGTCAAAAGTCGTTAATCCGGATTCGTCGGGACTTCAGTGATTCCGGATTATAGATCATCAGTTTAAATCTGGTAAGATGGCATGCAGAAATTATAAAATTAAAAATATGAAATCGTAATTTATGAAATAAAGAACAATTATGATCTAATAGGTATCAAAATTAATTAAAAAAAAAAAAAAAAAAAAAAAAGCGCTTAATATTTATTTGTTTACTTTACTTTCTTCGCTATCGGAAGCAAATTATAATGACGAGGAATTTGATTTAAATCATATCAAAGACGGAGTACATCGAGATGAAATACTATATTTAGTAAGGAATTATAAGCCAAATAAAATAAAAACATCTGCCCTGAAGATAAGGATAGTGCTGACAAATCACTGACTGATCCGCGGCGTCCCCCCGCCGCAGAGCAGCATGAAATTGATAAACAGATTTCAGAATGGTTAGATAAACAAAGGATATGCCTTTATTCATTTTTTGCAGCAATTCCACTTTTTGTTTAATGGACTTCGAAACATACTTTCGCTTTGTAGATCCTTTACATATTAGTAAATATATATCGGAAATTCTATTTGACATAATCGAAAGTTCAAGCTTACTTTTCATAAAATTGTTCTAACAGCCTGCAAAAAATAATAAGCCGGATCCAATTCGAAGATTAAGGAACAACGCAATCTGCAACATTAACTGAATTAGATAATTTTAGCTTAGCTTATACCAACCATTATACATTAAACGCGCATGCGTAAACGTATTTTGGGCTTGCGCACATGCATATTCGCAGCCGTCGTTCGACGCATGCGCAGAAAGTTTGTAGCTTTGAGGTCCGGATTATGGGTGTCCGAATTAACAACATTTGACTGTATCTCTTTTGCACTACTGAGAATGGGGAAGTAAGCAAAGTCTGCAAAATTTTTACATTTTATTTTTGGCCTTATGAAATGAAACACACTAATGGATATAATAAACAGATAATGCTGATATGTTTACATATGCATATCATTAAAATGCATTTATTTTAAGGATCTGAAGAGATAATAAACTATTAAATTACAGAAAGAAAATAGATATCAAATTAACCATTTACTCGCAAATAGATTCTTAACCATGAAAATACATATATAAAGATTATTTTAAATTTTTAAGTATTAATACAAGCTATGACTTGAGAAAAAAGGATTTTTAAAGTACCATGGCTCCACAAAACAAATAATATATTGTTATTTATTATTGCAAATAAAAGTTTGTAGAGGCACTACTTTTACATTTCTTGATGCAAAAACAAGCAGATCTATTAACCATAACTGCCTTCTACAGATTAAAATTATTCACTGCTGAAAGGCTATTCAACTTGTTTAAAAAAAAAAAAAAAAAAAAAAAAAATGTTGCAATATAACATATATAATTAATTGCAGTGCATTTTATATGGCTATCATTTAATGACATTGCAGAGATTAGAGTGTGCATTTTAGGTATATTCACTAGTGAAACACAGTTGTTCCCAAAAGAGAACATGCCGCCACCTCCCCCCCAAAAAAAAACTGCATAAAAAAATTTCCGTCATTCTAAGTACACTTTTTCTCTAAATTAAATTATAATTAATTAAAAAAACACAAAAGTAAATAGTTTAATTAAGTGCAATTAAATATGATAAGTTAAAATTAGGAGTTATAATCAATGTAAAGTAGCTAACAAAACCTCATTAAAGCTTCTGAAACTAAACTATTGCACCAATTAGCTACTATCAGCTGATATATAGAATTGTTTTTGGAACACAACATAAAAAATTATGAATGAAAAAGCACTTTTGTCACACTGGAAGAGATGCATGTGTATATAAAACACAAAAGCCATGCAAAGAATGATCCCGTATTAGCATAGTTTTATAACTTTATGCAGTTGCCAGTTTGCACAAAAATAATTATTCGAAACAGTCATATTGTTAAGCACTGTCATATCTAATTATTTAATGATGTCATATTCTCCTCATTTAACAGGCAAAATTAAATATCATTTATATGAGTAACAATTCAGTAAAGTTAGGCTAAATAACATGAGGTAAATTAAATAAATTACAAGGTAAATTTTACATGGTAAATTAAACTATACGGTATCAAATGAGAAAATAAACCAAGTTTACCTTCACTACAACTGGTTCACTACATGCAACTTCAGCTTTCACAGCTTCAACATTAGCTTCTTTTATAACATCCTTTTTCATAGCAGTCATTTTGAACCCATAGACATTATCCCAAAAGTTTACATACTCATTGTACTTTTCTGAAATTACATAAATTTAAAAACTACGCTTGATAAATTAACTATTTGATAAAATATCCATATTATAACACATAACAATAATAGTGTTGGTATTGAAGACAGTTTATCTTTCATCCCCCAACATTTGTTTGATTATGTACACAATCAAAATTAAATAAAATGCTGCATTACTAATAGTGATTAGACACGTACAGGAAATTGTTTAACTGGTGCTAATATGGTGTTCATATGATGTAGGTTGGGTTGCCAACTGCAGTTATCAGATGTTCTACTCTTTTGAAAAGACAGTTATATTTTAAGTAACTACAGATATATTCTTCTATTCATCCTGCAAAGTGCTAAACTGATTTGCAGTAGTTTAAGGAAGGTTTGGTCTAATTCTTGACAGTTAGTTTTGTTCATGCCAAACATAAAAGAAAGAAAAAAGAAAAAGGTAATTTTATGCAAATAAATGTGCATACTTCAATATTAACATTATTCGACAATTCCAAAAATTCTTGTCAACAACACATGAAACATTAACACAGGAAATCCACTGAAGAACATCTATGGTATAATGATATCCAACAAAGCAACCATAAATACCCAAGGAAAAATAATTTTGCGCAGTTCAAAATAATAAAAAGGTGGTTCAGCATAAAATTTAGCACAAATAAATATGAAAATATCACTTCAATTTCATTCACCTTCCAAGCTGAATTTCCTGAAAGTTTTAGACCTTACTGCACAATAATTTTATTAATGGAATTGATTCTTCCATCCATTACATTCAAAGTGGGAAAAGTGCACGCTCATCTGGTATTTGTAAGGTTGATACATATTGAATGAAATGCCACAATGTAATGTGATTCATCAATCCACACGATGTTCTGTTCCTACTGGAGGTATGGAAGAACTGCTCCAAACCTCAACAAATCAAATCTGTGAGTAAGGTTTCACTATATTTTTTATGTAAGATTGGATAATGTTAAAACAACCCTGATCAGTAAAAGTAATTAGTGGATTATAAGACATGTAAAATAACATACATAAATGAAATGAAGATATATATATATTATTTTTCCATTGAGAATATAAGAAAAAAGAAATCCTCTTAAAGTGAAATCACACTAAATTTTAAGACAATTTTTTCCCTTCAAAAATTAAATGTTAATTTTTTTTCATCACTTCAAAAATTTTCTATTTAGACTGCTCTCAAATTGATATTTAATATCAAGTAAAAGTCCACCAGCATGAATAACATCATAAAAATCCTCTTCCTCCATAAAAAAAATTCTTCCTCATTTCAAGCTTTACAGAAATTAACTTCTGGCAAAACTTCAATAGGTTTAAAAAGGAAAAGTTAGCCTATCAGAAACAAAGGTAAACAGGGTTCGTACACATTTTTGCACATGCACATGGAAATTAAGGACTTTTAAGGACCATTAATGAAAAAAATTAAGGACCTATCAGCAAATAGGAGCTAAATAAATAAAATTTCATCAGCTTATATCTGAACTTCACTTTTGTACAGTCAAAAGTCGTTAATCCAAACTCGTCGGGACTTCGGCGATTCCGGATTATCAATTTTTCCGGATTATAGATCATCAGTTTAAATCTCGTAAGATGGCATGCAGAAATTCTAAAATTAAAAATATGAAACCGTAATTTATGAAATAAAGAACAATTATGATCTAAAGGGTATCAAAATTTAAAAGAATAAAGCTTAATATTTATTTGTTTACTTTATTAAACATTTCTTTCAATGTAAGTTATTTAAGTTGCTTCGTTTTATGAGATAATACTTTCTCTTTAATTCTATAAACAGACATAATTTCTTGTTCAGTTACAAAGTTCCGCTGTTCAAGTCCCGTAATTGCTGTGCCGAGAATACCGACTAACTTGTCAATCGAAATTTTTTAGTTTTCCCTAACCTCTCTGTCACCTTCTTCATGTCTTTATCCATTTTTTGTAGCAATTCCACTTTTTGTTTGATGGACATAGGAACATACTTTCGTTTTGTAGATCCTTTGGGAGCTCCAGTATCGGAAATTCTATTTGACATAATCGAAAGTTCAAATTTACTTTTATAAAATTGCTCTTACAGTCTGCAAAAAATAATAAGCCGGAAATAATTCGAAGATTAAGGAACAATGCAATCATCAACATTAACTGAAATAGATAATTTTAGCATATACATAAAATATACATATTTTAGCATATACATATTTTAGCGTTATACATAAAACGCGCACGCGAAAACGTAATCTGCGCTTGCGCACACACATATGCGCAGTCGTAAAGGTCTTATGCGCACGCGTAAACGCCTATGCGCATGTGTCAACGTGGCGCATGCGCAGAAAGTTTTTTAGCTTTGAGGTCCGGATTATGGGTGTCCGAATTAACGACTTTTGACTGTAATAATGTTCTAAGAATAAAATAGATCTGTGAATAGGAAGCATTCTTATTAAACGTAATTTAATAAACATAACTATAAAATAAATTTGAGAATAAAATCCACTTTATAAAATTTATCAAGTAGCATTGGATATTTTACACGTATAATAGTTGGACATATCTGAAAGAAGATTAGGGACATTTCATTTACATTTTATTAACAGCTTTATGTTAATCTTTTCTTTTACATCTCATTTTGCCATGTACTTACTCAATCTAAATAGCAGGTAGATTTTATGTCGAATGGCATAGGTTAAAATGAGAAATAAAATCATAATCAGCATGATTCGTAACAGAAGATTAGCTGTTGTTAGTGCTGCTGCTTGCCGAGAGAGAGACCTGTTGATCAGAAAAATCCTGAAAGCCTCATGTAGGCATAGTAGTTTTGAAAGTTAGTTGTGCTTCATCTGTCTGAAGCAGTTAGTGTTGTACCTTCATATAGAGTTTCTGGGCTTGTAACCTGGTTAATATAATTTAAGGTTCCAATAAGCCACTAATGCAGCAGAGGTGATAAGCTATTTTGTATTATTTTAAGTCCCACTAGATGCAAAGAATAAGCTTACAATAGTTTTTACATTTTTATGCTGTATCTTGTGGCCACAGTAATGATTAATGAAAAGCAACAACTTGCTTTAATACACAGAGATAACTTTAAAAGATGAGCAGTTAGTTATAAATAAAATAATTAGGTAGTTAAATATCCTTATTATAGATTTACATTATAGATTTACATGACCACTATTAAAATCACAATCTAATAACACTTCAGAGTTTAAAATACATGTAATTCATGACACTGATTCTGAAACAGTATTAGGATAACTGCACATTAAAAGTTACAAAACAAAATATTTATGTGTCTTTTTAAATCGAAGTGTTCCCAGACATTTCGGCTAATTTATATCAGTTTTCTTCTGTTTAAACATTTTTTTCTAACAATCAGAAATCTGTTTCAATACACAAACAATGTTCCACTAGTTTCTGCATCTTATCTCCTAACCCCAATCTCTCATAGTGTACCTAATGAGGGTTTACGTGATCTGGTAAAAGTTAAATAATCCAAAACTTCTGATAGACATGAAGCAAATTATCATAATGTCCGAAGGTAACTACAGCATCACATAAAGATTTAAATCAACCTCTTATTTAAAAAGAACTTTAAACATATAGGCACGTTCTTATGTTGACAAAATAAACTACAGCTTGTGGTGATGCAATTAAAAAGGAACAGTCAAATTCAAACTAAAAATATGGACTAGTAGTCAAAGACCACACAATTTAAATTTAATCTAAGGTGGCTCAGTAACTTTATTGTAGTACAAATTCAAATATTAGAAATGATAATGCAAAGATGATATTAAAATTATCAAGCTGCAGGAACTAAGACACATCCAAGTGTAGGACAAAAACATTCTGTCTACATCCAAATCTAAGTGTGAAAAACTTCTGATTGCATTATGGTAGGAAAGAGAAAGTTATAGTAAGGCTAAAATTCTAACACTGATTACTTTGCATGATATAACTCTACATCTTTGAAGAATATTCCTTCATCTTTATGATCAGTTTCTTTCAATACATTTCCCCTTCTTTAGAATTTTTGAAATTAAAGATTTCTGCTATTTAAAAAAAAAAAAAAAAAAAAAAAGCATTTAGAATATAAAAAAGTTGCTAATTTTATTTCTTTAGTAATATGAACATTCAGAATAAATATGAAATGATATGTGGTAAGGGCTGGTTTCAGAGCCAATGAGGCAGAATTTTTAGATTTTAGTGACACACCCAGCAAAAAAATCTAGAAATGGCAAACTTTCAGAATTTATGACAGGAACTGGGAGCAGAATTTAGGAGAGCATTAGGCAGCAGAAAAGGAAGGCACTAGGCTGCAGAATTTAGGATCCACAGAGATTTCATCAGCTGGGAAAATGCTCAGCGCCAGCCCTGTGTATGATCTATTAAGACATATAAGGTAAATCGTTTAAACTGTCGGTTTTCAATTTCTTTATCAATAGAAAATTCTTTTTTATAAATTTAAAACTTTATTTTTTAATACATCACATGCAAAAAGATTAGGAACATTTTTTATATTTTTCATGCTTGTATCTAGTGAAAACTTGAGAAAATAAAGAGAAGATAAAAATATTAAGAAAAAGACTTCTAGCATCGAAAGGAAAACATTCAAACATTATATTTTCACTGTCCTTCCAAAAATTCTTCACAATATAAGAAATTCATCATAAAATTTCTGTAAAATACATCCATTATGTGTTAATACAATGAAGACATTTTTCATTTTGTCACATTTTTCAGCAGCCTTCTAAAATTGCGGGTCTGTAAATCTTGCCTTCAAATATTTCTAAACTTTCCAAGTTTCAATATCTAAAATTCTAAAGCAAAATTAGCCCTACCAATTCTGTAATAAAAAAAAAAAAAAAAAGCAAGAAATATTTTGGAGGGGAAAAAAATCAGTGGAAAAAGGAGTGAAATTAATTTTATAGAGAAAACTGATGCCTATTCTTGTAATTCTGAATATTCTGAAACAATTATATGGGAAAATTTCTTATCATGAAAAATTAAAAGGAAGAAATTTTAAATTACATATTTTTTATATTTGCTATATCTCAAAATTTCACTAATGCCCCAATACAATACACCTCTTGGTTTTAGTCTCATGGCTTTTCAGTCAAAGGAAAAGTCAGAGGCTTTTCTGTGGTATTTCCCAGGAGAGGGAGGCAATGAGTTTAATTACATAGATTATAACTAAAAATACAATGCAGATAAATATATTGGATATTATTTGCTAGAAATATACTGTATATAAATACAGGCCATTAAAGGATTAATTGCTTGGTTATTTAACAAAATATATAATGAAAAACTTATTTTCTATCAATTTTCAAGCAACATTTCATGCAATGACCATTTGATACATCTTACAATGCTGCTTCCAAGAGGGTCATTATAACACAAATCGATTTCATCACACCTCAATATTTTCAGATTTACAAACCAAAAAAGTGTGTATTTATTTGAAAATAAAAATCCTTTTTTGCTATATTTAGTTCCAAAATTTGGCAGTGTCATATAAATGAGTATTTTGGTAAGTGAAATTACAGAATGAGAGGAAGGAATTTTATTATCATCATAAATAATTATTGTTTAAATATTAAAACTATATAGGTAATTTTGGTATATGTAAATACATAACTATCACTAATTATCATATCCATGTCTAGCTGAATAATTTCAATTTAGACCTGCATCCATTATACTGATATACTTGAAAATAAATAGGTGCCAATGTATCACTAACTTCCCTTTATCTTTGGGCCACACCTAAAGGCACTGTTATTTTTAAGGAAATTCAGAAGGAAGAATAATAAATTAAGATTATCTCTCTCAGGATTACAGCAAAATATAATACCTGCTCACATACATTTTTATTTCTTTACATTTATCCTAAAATGTAAGGAGGGTCTCATATTTGAGAAAATTTTACTTTCAAATAAACACAGTATTTGAAAAGTTAGATTTATTCATTTATTTTTTAAATACAATAGAAGGTTTAATTTATATTTTATTCCTACACTAATTGAACATTCTTTCCCCCCCCCCTAATGGCAGATTTTGAACAGTTACAGTGTAACAGAGTCCAAACAGTATTTGAAAACTTATAATTTTTCAGGTACAGAGTCCATTAATCTATACTACGGCCAGATGTGATGGTCTCTTTATTATGGAGTCACCTAATAGGTGGGCCACCATTGCCTCCTATTAAGGGGACAGACAGTTACAACCATGCCTTCTCCGGGATTCGAACACAGGCGCTTCGGTACTGCAGTTAGGCTCCCCTAGCCACCATTCCATCTGAGTGGCCTAATTTAACATTCTAGCTTAATGGAAATTAGCATAGATCTTCCATGATACCCGGTATTTTTGTCTTTTGAGAAAGTAGCAGACCTTTGTGGGCATTACTATAAATTATAACTTATGTTCTATAAAAACATTTATTTATGTTCTCAATGATAGTTATTACAGAGATTATCAGCATAAAAGTTTCATTATTTCTTAAAGATTACTTACCAAGATCACATACAGCCATCAATGAAAGTGTACATCGATCTGGAAACATGTAACCACCTGGAGCTAAAAACTTATCTCTAGCAAAGAGGACACTGTCTAACATGCCTTCAAACAGCAAAAAGTATCCCATCCACTCTGAGACTATTATGTCTACTTTTTCCTCGGGAAGTGGCACATCTTCAATTCTGCCTTTGAACAGATCAATAACTTGATCATATCCATTTTCCCTGCACAGAAAACATTTTAATTAAAAAACATTAATAGTACAAGGATTTTTATTCAATTATGTACACATGGTCTTTTATGACTATTGGAGCTGGGAAACATGAAAAAATAATTCTATTTTTGATGGCATTTGAGCTACTGATCTTCAGTGTGCTAGCTGGATGTGTACATCATAATTGTGTGCTTTATAGAACACAAGGTCTGGCTAAAAGTTTTGACTGACTAAATATTAACTTTTTGAATAGCCCTATCTGTTTGCAATAAAGGGCAACATTAAACAAACAATAAAAAAAAACATTTTGATTCTAGTCTGTTAATCGCATTGGGATGAGTTGAGCTGTTAAGGAGAAAATTATCGTTTGATGTTTGAATGTTATTTATTTTAGTAATAAAATTGAATTTGGAACAGAGATTTGTGACAAAGTTTTGTTTTTAAAGAAGCAAAACTTAACAAATGATGCAGAATGCTTATGATGAAGAGTGTTCTTTGCCTTCTAACATGTTTTTGTGGTTTGGTAGATTTCGAGATGGTAGAGATGATGCAAAAGATGACGAAAGAACAGATGTCCTCTGAACTGGCCTGAACAATGAAGTTGCCCGTGCTGCTTTAAATCAAGATCATCAGTTAATGATAAGAATGCTTGCAGAATATCTAAACATTTAAAAACAAAACATAACAAAAAAAAAAAAAAAACCCTGTCTATACAATAATGAGTGAGGATTTAGGGTAAAGGAAATTGTGCACATTTTGTTCCACATTCAATTAACAACAGAACAAAAGAATGATTGAGCGGCATTTGTCAGAATCTTTTTGACATGTGAAATTGATCCTATGAAAGATTTTTGCAATAAGAAAAAGGTAGAGAAATCATTTAAAATTTTTTGTTTTATATGTTTCCGCATTCTTTAACATTTCTTCCATCTCACTGTAAGTTTTATTTCATCTGAAGAAGTCAATATTATTTTACGGTAAATTTATTATTTGCAGTGAAGAGAGAAATTCCCAATTTTTTGTGAAAAGCAGTTTTATGAAAAGAATTTTATTAATAATAGTTCTTTCTTTAGTTCTTCGGCAGATACTACAGGTAGAAGAATTTTTCAGTTTATTTTAAATTATAGAATTGTAGTTCATAAAATACTGAAATTACTGTTTGCTTTATCAATTTTGGTTATGGTAAGTTGCTTTTTTAATTGTTAAAACTTCAGAAGTACATTCTTTCAGTTATTAATTCCTCTAAATGCTTGAATTTTTTTTCAATTTCCTTTTTTTTTGCTTTGAGTAATTATCTCATTCTTTAATTATTTAAATAAATGTGAATGTAAGCTTAATTGAGAACTTACTTTCATATATATAATCATAATTAAAGGGGAGTACTCCTATTATAATTCCTATATTTCAAAGTAAAATTAAGAAAAGAAATAAAGTAAAAGAATTACAATTTGAAGTCTAAATAAATTCCAATGTAATTTAAGCAATATTTAAAAGCAATAGAAAAAATAAAAAGTTTTTGAAACAGTAAAAGGAAAACAGGCAGAAGGAAAAATTGCTTTACAAGCAATGACTAATAATAGTGGAGATGCATAAAATTATGATGCAAAAATAATATTATAATGAAAGAAATTTAGAGCCAAATTCATAATAACACAAAAAAGTAATAAATGTTTTAAAATAAAAATCTGTGATACACTCTTTCCTCTCTCTCTCTATATTATAATTTATCAAAAATATATATAATTTATATATTTTTTGATTTTATATCTTCTATATATATATAATTTATCAAAAAATTAAATAAACTAGTAATTATAAATTAATATAACATTTATAAATTTTAATTAGCTTCTGCCACTTATTGGCATTTTCTGCTGGTTTCAAACAGTTTTTGTCTTTGGCAAGGAAGGAATTACATTTTGCCATCAGACAGCAATACCTAGTTGAAATGTTCACAATAAAATATAAACACAGTTCACTATGGTCATTGCAATATCATTTTGAACCTAAAAGCTCCCTTCTTCATAAGAAAAAAAAAAAAAAAAAAAAAATCAAATCTGTATTTGAATTCACCATTCAGAATTTAATTTATTGCTTTAATGCAAATTGTTATAATAAAGTGAGTATTAAAAGTTTAATTACTGAAAAAATTTTGAAAAATATGTTTCTTCTGATTTTAAAAGAATAGCAAGTCATTTTTAAATTATCATACTGAAAGATATTTTTTAGCCTACATGCTAACATGCATCTTAACCCCTTCACGCCGACTGTCACGTCTACATGCCAACAACAAACACACTCACCTACCGGCCGACACGCAGGCGTGCCAGAGCATTTTCCCGTTTACTACCGACTGTCACGTATTTGTGCCAGTACCCTGGAACGTTTTAGAAACTATAATTTCTGCCACAAGATGGCACTGTATGTCCATATGGTTTCAGATACATGTACATTAGACCTTCTACTTGAAATGAGAGAAGCATGACTCCCATACACGTGTTTTTGATTATATAAACAAATGGGAAACTAAATGTTTCCGAATGGCATGATTTATGATGTCTCTTTTAAATCACACTTTATTCGCGCGTGGTAGTTGTTTATTGTAAATAGAAGTTTTATACGCGCTAAAGCGTTGAGTATTTCGGTTTGCAGTTCAGTTTTTAGAAAATAATTAGATCTTGTTAGATGTGAATTCTTTCTGTTTTTACCGTTGCAATGTCGAAGTGTCGAAAATGTTTAACAGAACATGAAATAGCAGAAATGATGCAAAATATTTCAGATATTGATTCTGAAAGATTAACTGAAAGACATTTTCCAAAACTTTGTTCAGAAGAGACTGATAAGAAAATGAGACGACGATGCTTCGTTTGTTCACATTCCCGGAAAAATCCTCCAAAACGGCAAATGAGTTATTACGAGTGCAAGGAATGCAACGTAGGACTGTGTGTAGATCCCTGTTTCCAAATTTTTCATACGAAAAGAGAATTTTAAGCAACATATTTAGTTTTCAGATATATAATGTTAAAAGTCATAAAATGGTGAGTAATTAAAATAAAATGTGTAAAATATGCATTTAAACAAGAAATAAGGTAATTAAAGTATATATATAAAAATATCTATAAAGCATAAGCCGTTTAAATACTCTATAGAGCATTATTAAACAATGCGTTGATACTTCGGAAATTTTATGGATTTAGGCTTAGTAGCAAAAAAGCCCCCGGCCCTGGAGAGACGCTCGCGTAAGACACTGCCGGCCTCAGCGATATGCGCGCGTTTTCGCTACCCGGCTCGAAGGGGTTAAAGATTAAATATTAGGATATTTTGCTTTATACTTCATCAATAATGAAATAAGCAAGCTTGATTATTAGTATCCCTACTCCCCTCTCCATCCCTCCAAAACGTATTTTTAGAATGATAAAAGATCTCCATTTAAAAATGAAATAAATAATTATACAAGATTCTAAAACTTTTCCTACAAGATAATATAATACAGAATATGTTCACTCAGATTTATACCTCACTATGTCCATTGCTTGAAATATGACATCTGATTTATCCACACCCATAACTTTAGATGCTCCTGCCTTTGCAGCAAACATGGAAAGTATTGCTGTTCCACAGCCAACATCAAGCACTCTTTTGTTGTGGAAGATTTCTGAATTTTTCAAGATGGCATCTTGATAAGACAATGTCCTAACTTTATCCTAATGAATCACAAATAAGGCAAAAGTTACTTAAAAAAAAAAAAAAAAAAAATTCTGTTTAAATTTGTGTAATTTCTCTTCCGTTAAAAAAAAAAAAATAAATAAAATAAACAGAAGAGAATAAAATACATAAATCACCTGCAGCATTTCATGATGAATAGCAAAATGATCATATGTGCTAAAATAACTGTCTTCTTCATTACTCATACGTCTTTCTTCAGTGCAAGGTCTTTTATCAGATGGATAATCATTGTTGCACAGAACATTTTTGGCTGCTTCCCTGCAATGAATACAGCATAATTAGGATGATTAATACAGAAAAGTGGGGAATAAAATTTCTTTAGTGTAGCATAATCCAATACAGTCAAAAGTCGTTAATCCGGACTCGTCGGGACTTTGGCGATTCCGGATTATCGATTTTTCCGGATTATAGATCATCAGTTTAAATCTCGTAAGATGGCATGCAGAAATTCTAAAATTAAAACTATGAAACCGTAATTATGAATGAAATAAAGAACAATTATGATCTAAAGGGCATCAAAATTTACAAAAAAAAAAAAAAAAAAAAAAAAAAAAAGAAGCTTAATATTATTTGTTTACTTTATTAAACAATTCTTTCAATGTAAGTTGTTTTAAGTTGCTTCGTTTTATGTGATAATACTTTCTCCTTAATTCTATAAACAGACATAATTTTCTTGTTCAGTTACAAAGTTCCGCTGTTGAAGTCCCGTTAATTGCTGTGCCGAGAATACCGACTAACTTGTCAATCGAAATTTTTTCGTTTTCACTAACCTCTCTGTCACATTCTTCATGTCTTTATCCATTTTTGGAGCAATTCCACTTTTATTTGTTGTTGGACATCGAAACATACTTTCGTTTTGTAGATCCTTTGGAAGTTCCAGCATCAGAAATTGTATTTGACATAATCGAAATTTCAAGTTTACTTTTATAAAATTGCTCTTACAGTCTGCAAAAAATAATAAGCAGGATCCAATTCAAAGATTAAAGAATAACGCAATCATTAACATTAACTGAAATAGATAATTAGATAATTTTAGCTTACACCGTCTGTTATACATTAAACGCGCAGGCGAAAACCTATTCTGCCCTTGCGCACACGCATATGCGCAGTAGTCAAGGTCTTACGCGCACGCGTAAAACGCCTGTGCGCATGTGCCAACGCATGCGCAGAAAGTTTTAGCTTTGATGTCCGGATTATGGGTGTCCGAATTAACGACTTTTGACTGTACTAATTTATCTAAAGGCAATATACAGGGTGATTTTAAATTGTTTTTACAAATTAAGAGGGGTGTTAGTACTCATCCAGATTAGCAATAATTACCATAGAACACAGGGTCGCATTCCACTCTGAGAGGCAGAAAAGAGGAATATTACAGTTCCAAATTGAACTTACAACAGTGTTGGGAAAGCGAATGAATGAGACCAAAAGTTACGCAATCAGTTTAGCAAAAAACTCACAGAGAGTGCACAAAACAGATAAAACTGAAAACTTGGCATTCGAGCGTTAATTTGAACTCAGACTTTGATGGCAAACTCTCAAATGCGCATCTTTGGTTTGTTTTATAGGGCTGAATATTATGAACTAACTCCAACCTCCGCTGTATGCCGAGATTAGTATGAAAAGTTCAGGCTGTCAGAACTTTGTATCCCATAGAAGGGCGTGTCAGGTAAAATGAGCACAGCACAGTAAGTCCAGCAGGACAGGATAGAAGATGGTGAAGGGGAAAAAGTCTGCTACCCTGGTAGTATCAAACCTACCTTGAGTTGGAGTTAGTTGATACTATAATTGACCATAATTAGACCATAATTGTGCACCAAAACAAACCCACCAAACAAAAACTACAAAGATGTAATGGGTGTATACCCTTTTCAGCATACTGCCACAAAATCCCCTGACATTTCACCAACATGCTATTGTGTCTTTGAATGCTGAGATAGCTCTTCCTTAACACAGACGTACCATGACTGACAAATACAGGAAAATAGTTAAAGAAAAATGGAAAGCAATATCCTTAGAAATTTTATGAAAAGTTCTTCCATCATGGAAAGCACGCTGAAGACTTACATTTCAGAAAAAAGGCTATCAGATCAAATATTATAATACATTTTTATGTCTTAAGCGTCAGTTAAATGGTCCCAGAATTGTTCTAAAAGTCCATCAAAATCCTTTCCTTTCACACAAGCAGATAGCATACTCTATTTTATTAAATGCTTTTTGAATATCAGTAAAGCAGGCAGTGTTGTAAATTAATCAGGCATTTGAGAAGAAGAATTTCCAACTAACTTCTGGTAACCCTAGAAATGCTAAGGCATGTGCGTGCCAACCGTGCCAAATTTATTATATCCCATGATCCTCTTGCTTTTTACTCTTAAGTTTTTGTGTGTGTTTGTATACAACATTAATGTATTTGCTGCTGTATATTATTTTAGATACAGCTGAATAAATGTGATTTGTGCTTAAATATGCATCCTATCTTATGATACAGTCAAGTCTTGAAAGATTGCATGCAAATAACAAAACTGAATTCTGAAAATTACACTACTCAGAAATTCAAGATTCAAATGCTTTTAAGGCACAACAATATTCTTCTCCACCTTCTAAACCTGATGATGAATTTTTAAAGATGGATAAACAAGCATGAGCTATAATAAATCTATGCATTGACGACTCTCAGATTATTCATGTTAGAGATGAAACGACTACCACTGGTGCATGGCAAAAATTAAAGTCTATTCACGAGCGCTCCAATTTGAGCAGCAAGGTTATATCTTCTGAGAAAATTATATTATATAAAAATGGCTGAACATAGGAATATGACTGCACACATCACTCATATGGACTTAGTTGAAAGACTGAAAGCTATCGGTGAGAACATATCGGTTCAGCACGTAGCTGCACTTTTGTTAGTTTCAATTCCCGAATCATACAATAATCTTATTGTATGATTTGAGATTGCAATTGAAGCTAGAGAGGAAACTCTTATAACTACACATCTTGTAAAAAGAAAACTCACTGATGAATACAACAGAAGACTAGAACAACAAGCAGATTGAAGTTCTAATTCCTCAATGGCGTTTAAATCCACAATAAATGAAAGAAATTATGATAATAACAGACAAAAGAAATTTTGCACCTTTTGTAAACACAGTGGTCATACTTGTGAGTGTTGTTTTAAATTGCAGAACAAAATTTCTTGTCCCAGCAACTCAAAATCGGAAACTCGCGTGACCAAACATGTCATAAAATCGAACTGACATTGTATGAGCTCAGACACTTCCCTTGGCTGTGAATCCAGCTGTCAATCAGCACCAGTCCAAAGTACTGTTTATGAAAAGGGTTTAATAATTACTCCACGATATTGCTCAGAACAAAATATAAAAAAAAAAAAATTTCTCCCTCGATTCCAGTACAAGCAGTCATCTAATATGAGATAAAAGTTTGTTTACTGATATATGAGAATTCTCAAGCAAAAATCATTTTAGCCGATGGAAAAATTTTATATTCGCAGGGGGCAAAGGATTTGTTGATTTATAAGATGAATGTGGATTGCAGAAAATTTGATTGACTAATGTTTATTAAATTCCTGATTTAAAGAGCAACTTGATTTCTGTTAAGCAAATTGCTACTAAGGGATATTCTAGCAATTTACTAGAATATCCCTTACTCAAAATGGATAGCCAAATAATTAGCACGCATATTCTGATGATAATAGTTTATATAAAATTGTTTTAATCAAAAATCCAGAAAGTACTAATTTTGCAGTTGAATGTAAAAATAACAACTGTATGCAAATATGGCATTCAAGGTTTGTCATCGAAGTTATGATGCAATCAGACAATTAGTAAGAGAAAATCTTGTATAAGGAATAAAATTAGATAATTGCACTTATAATGACAGCTGTTCAGAATGCATAAAGAATAAAATACAACAAATTCCTTATCCACAAGCTGCTAATGTTCGCGCAAGAAAACCACTGGGACTTATACATAGTGATATTTGTGGGCCTATGTCTACTCCAAGTACTTGTGGAAAACTTTATGTCGTAATCTTTATTGAAGACTTTACTAGATACACTGTCATCTATTTGCTCACTAAAAAGAATGAAGTTCTTAGTAAATTAAAGGACCTTGTTGATATAACAAGAAATAAATTTGGAAGAAACAAACCATGCAGACTCTTTGAACCAATAATGCCAATGAATATACCAGCAAGGAAATGGAGGAATTTCTGTCAAATAACGACATCAAATATCAACTAACTGTTCCCTTTTTGGCTCCTCAGAGCAGTGTGAGAGAAAGAAAAAATAGAAGCCTTACTGAGTTGACCAGTGCCTGCTGTCCCAAGGCTGACTTTCAAACAAATTTTGAGGTGAAGCTGTCAACACAGCAAATTACATCCAGAACCATCTTCCAACCACAGCTTGTGATAAGACTCCCTATGAATTATGGAGTGGAAGAAAACCTAATCTAGGTCATATGAAACGATTTGGTTGCACAGCTTATGCATATGTACATAAGGAAAACCATAAAAATTAGACCAGAAAAAGATTGAAGGAATTTTTGTCAGTTATGATCCAAGTAAAAAAAAAAGGGATCTACACAGGTGAAAACCGTATAATTATCAGTACAAGCGTAAAATTTGTCATTTGTCCAAGAATTACCAGCGAATGAAAAGATAATATCAAAATTTCTCTCCATCCAAAGGCTGACGACGGTGAAAATGATGAAGAAACTGAAGAAAACATGAAATTGTATCTGAACAGCCAAGACGATCAAAAAAGAAAATGAAGAGGAAACCATCAGAGCATCTAGAATTCTTAACAAACACAATCAAAATCACATCTGAGAATGTGACTAAGATCTAAGAAAAAGAAAAGTGGTTATTTGCAGCTGACGAAGAAATCAAATCCTTATCCCGAAATAAAACTTGGGAACTACTTCAGCTTCCTGTAGGAAAGAAACCTATTGGCTGTTGATGGACTTTCAATCTGAAAGAAAACGAGGATGGAATAGTCATTCATTACAAGGCGCGACCAGTCACAAAAGATTATAGTAAAGAATTTGAAACTAGCTACGATCATACTTTTGCAACAGTAGTTTGACATACAACTATCAGAACCTTTCTTGCTGTCGGCAAAATGCATGAGAGGTACGTAAACGTCACTACAGCATTTCTACACAGAGATTTAGAAAAAGAAATATAAATGGAACAACCAGAAGGCACAGTTCAACTAGGACAAGAAAAAAAAGATTTGCAAACTGAAAAAAGCTCTTTATGGATTAAAGCAAGCTGCTAGAGCATTGAATAAGAGTGGAAGAAGTATTAAGGAACACTTACTTTTCACAGAGTAGGGTAGACTCACACTTGTTTCTAGAGAAAGATGGAAATGACATCATAATGATTACTGTCTACATTGATGACATTCTTATAGCATGCAAAAGCGAAGAAAAAATCAAAAGGCTTATCAAATCTCTCAATGAGTTCTTCGAAGCAAAAGACTTAGGAGAAAGCAGAGACTACTTAATCAGAATCAAAGGAGATGAAAACAAGTTCCTATTGACCAAAAAATCAAAAATAGAAAAAGGTATTTTGTCCAGATATCCACAAACCATCTTACACACCAATGGATACTTCTTATCCAAAGGTAGAGAACACCTCTCCGCCAGTGGACAATACCGAGTACAGGCAAGTCATCGGAGCTTTACTATACATAGCCACTGTAACCAGATAGGACATTACCCTAGCAGTAAATCTATTAAGCAGGAAAAATGAATCTCTAAATGAGAAGGATTGGAAAGCAGTTATAACAGTGATTCAATACCTGAACTTTATAAAGGACCATTTACCTGAAAATTGGCTCTGATAGCCCACCAACATTTAACCACTAGACGATCAACCAGTGGAAATTTATTTTTCTTAGGAAACAGCTCAATATTTTGATCTACAAAGAGGCAAAATAATGTTTCCTTACCATCTATCGAATCCGAGCTTATTTCTGCAGCTACTGCTGCTCAAGAGCTCAAATGGATCTTAGATCTCCCTAAAAATTTAGACTACCTCAAAAACTACCCATTAAGATATTTGAGGACAATAAGTCCACAATAGCTCTTAGAAAACAGAGGAAAATGAATACCAGACTAAAGCATATTAGTGTTAAATATTTCTTTATTAGAAAAATGGGAGAGAATAAAATAATCAGGATAACAAATTCCATGATTGCAGATATTTTCACTAAGCCATTGCGCAAAACAAAATTTTTGAAATTAAGAAGTGAGCTAAATCTCATTTCCAACATTTCCCAAATGCATGATTAAAGGGGAGATTGTTGTAAATTAATCAGGCATTTGAGAAGAAAATGTTTTTCCAACTCACTTCTGGTAACCCTAGAAATGCCAAGGAGCGTGCACACCAACCATGCCAATCAGACCCAATTATTATATTCCATGATTCTCTTGTTTTTTATTATTAAGTTTTTGTGTGTGCTTGTATGCAACATTAATGTATTTGTTGCTTTATATTATTTCAGTAACAACTGAATAAATGTGATTTGTGCTTAAATATGCATCCTATTATTAATGGATACATCCCTCACACTAGGCCTAATTTCAGAAACTTAACCCTGCTACTGAGTGCACAAGAGGTAAACTTATCTTCAGGCAGCACCTAATTCTTTTCTGTTAAATGCCTCACTTTTATATCCCATATTAAAATCTAATGTTCAATACAATATGCTTTAATGAAACAATACTGTTAGCCTGTTACTGCACAGCTGAATTATGGATATAAAGTGGATGTTGATAGAGATACATGTATTATAAGTTTTTGATCATTCTTATAACATAAAATTAGAATTTTCATGCAATGGGGGAGGACAGATAATATAATTTTGTCAATATTAAAATATTAATTGAAAAAGTACATTATTTTACACAAATGATCAAGTATGAAAAAACAAGATAAACTAAAAAACTACTACAGAATATTTTTTACTAATTTTAATACATATTAAAAATGAGAAACCTACTTCATTCTGTCTATTCTATCATAAGCATTTTGTAGTTTCATTTCTTTCTGATGAAGCTTTTGTAAAATGGCTTCAAATCTAGATTGAGATATTGTAATTGTGTCATCGTAATCTGCTCTCTCAGCTAATTTTTCTTGAACAAAACTTTCAATATCTGAAAAATATTAGAGTAATATTATTCCTGACACACACATATGTATATGAAAAATAATAATCACTTTATTAGATTAGGCAATCAATAACATGCAAATAAAAATTCATATTTATACATCAATTACTTTCAGTTAAATTTTAGTGTTGTACTTAGGTTGCTATTTATATTTCTGGCCTTGACAACAGTAAGTGTTGCTAAGCGACGGTTGACGATTCTAATTGAAAGTTTGATATTTTTAAGCATAACTTCTTCAGAGCGTTTTGCTATTTTAGAGTGATTTTTGTTGGTTGCAGTAAATTGAAAAATTCATCTCAGCCAAAAAAATGGAACTGACTTGTGAACATGTTCGTGCGATTACTTTTCATAACTTTTGTCATGGATTATCAAGACAAGAGTGCTTCTCTGAACTTAATTCTTTATACAGGGATAAAGCACCATCCTATAGCACTGTAAAAAACTGGTTTAATGAATTCAATCATGGTCGACATTTGCTCCAGGATGAATTTTGTGAAGGTCATTCAAAACCAGTTGCTGTGCGCGAACTGATAAAGCATGAACGTCATGTGAAATACTGTGAGATTAAAGCATCTTTGGGTATTAGTATGACAAGTATCATAAGATATTACATGAACATTTGGCCGGAAAAAAAAATTATTCGTGTTGGATGCCGCATAATCTGACAAACACTCAAAAGAAAGCTCGTGTCGATTGGTGCAAGGAAATGTTGAAAAACTATGTTAAAGATGCATCAAAGGCTATGTATAACATCTACACTGACAAATCATGGATCTATGCAGATGCATAGCCCAAAACAAAACAGTAGCTGACTGTATGGGTCTTCCAAGATGAGCCAAATCCAAAAAAAAGCTGTCCGCAGAAGAAGCACATTGAAGCAAACAGTTACATGTTTCTGCCATTACCGGCCACATGGCGACAGTGACATTACAGCAATGCAGTACAGTCAATTCCGAATGGTACATGACCATTTGTTGGCCAGAAGTCATCAAAGGGGGAAAGAAAAAAAAAAAAAAAAAAAAAAAAAAAAAAAAAAAAGCAGAAGAAGAGTCGAATCATTCTTTATCATGACAATGCGAGATCTCGCACATCGGCTCAAACAAAGGAATTTTTAATTTTTAATGGGCCAAAACATCGAATTTATGGATTATCTGTAGTACAGCCCTAGTTTGGCACCAAATGACTTTTTTTTATTCCTGCACATCAAAAATAAATTATGTGGTCAGCGATTTGCACCACCTGAAGAAGTTGTTGATGCATTCAAAACACAGGTTTTGGAGTTACCTGAGTCGGAATGGAAAAGGTGCTTCGAAAATTAGTTCAAACACACGCAAAGGTGTATTGGTCTCCATGGAGAATATTTTGAAAAGCAATTAAAGCAATTTCAATCATAAATATTTGTTTCTTCATTATCAGGCCAGAAATATAAATAGCAACCCTTGTATATGATGATCAGCTTAACCTAAACATAGTTAATTATATCACCACAGCACCATTTAATATGCTATAAAATTAATTAAATTTTGGCATAGTACTACTTTTCAATTCGTTTTTCACAATAGCTTACTGAATGTGCATGCAGTCTAATGTCCATAGCTATTTTGGTAAAAATATATTTATGGGTGCCTCTTGACGAAAATTGGTGATTTTTGACAGTACATGGACACCAAGTTTCTGCAACTCTATGACTTTTTATTTTGGCTTTGTGTAGCGGCGACTTTTACACCAAACATCGCCACAACACAAAGCCAAAATAACAAGTCAAAAATTGCTAAAACTCGGCATCCAAGTACACATCAACCTACTTTCACTTAAAAAAAATTGAATTGCATAAACTTAGCATTGCGCACTCACTCCCTTGACTTTGTCCTTGTATACATCGATCTATTTTCACTTAAAAAGTCAAAGGAGCAGCCAATTCTATACTAGAGCCAAACAAAAAATATTGTTGCATTTTTCTTCCGACACCAGTTGTTACGTTATTTTCTTCCTTCACGTTCGTACGGGATTCATGAGGATTTGGATTGAATAATGACAATACTATATAATGAAGTATCGAAATACACTTTATTGGCCAGTATTGTCAGGACAGCTCCAAAACACCTTTTTACAGTCGTCGATGAACTACTATAAACACGCTGACACGATCAGTGACACAGCCTCCAAGTTATCAGGCTATCATATCACGGTGGAGACAGCTTCACGGCAAAGTACTACAGTACAGCTTCTGACTCTGCTTGGTCGTTCTCGGAACTCCACGCTACAATTTGCGATGCACTCGACGACACACAGAGCACGGCTCCTGACTCTTCGGTTCAGTCGTTCCTGGAACTCAACATGCTCTCTCGACGATGCACTCCTTCGGTGAACTCGACGACACACTCGGCACTCGCTGCCCGGCTGTCAATTCGATCCGACTCCATACGGACTGACAAACTCGAGACTAACGTCTTTACTCTTGACGAAGCACTCTCTCAATGACTGACTAGCAGCTCACTAGACGAGCACATACTGACTGCGAACAAGCAGGGTTTATATAGCTTTCGGCTTATGTTCGAGAACATTCTGGGCTAAACCGGTAAGCATTCGTTCCAGAAGGTTCTCCATCCGTCCATGGCATATCGCTTATTTTGTCACCAAATGAGCAATTTCTCGCCAATAGTGTGTGTTGTTTGTTAGGTTATCTCATTTCAAATATGAATGATGGAAGGCTTTTTTCTATAAGATTTAGGTATGTAATATTGTTTATCACATTTATTAGCTAAGTTATATAGCATTTCATTTACAAACACTGGAGATATAGAAGTTGCTAGTTATATATTTTGCTCTGAAACGCAAATAAATTAATATTTGAGCCAAGGTAAAATATTAATTATTATCTTAAGAACCCTTCCCAATTTATCATGACAGTGGCAATTTTCAATCAACGTTTAAATTTTTGTAAAATGTTCGTTTGTTTTTCGGTTCTTTCAATTATATTTATGCCCAAAGTTAATTAAAATATTTGTAAAAAGCTTAAAAAGTGTGTATGTATATAAAGCCTCCTTTCTTTCAGCTATTTTAATTAATTAAGAAACATGATAAAGTTATATTTCCGATGAAAATTTAAAAATCTAGATGACTTTCCGACGATAACATCGGACGGAAAGCTCCGCCATGTTTATTAAGTGTCATGGCCTTCTCCCTCTCGAAGGTCACGCCTGGATACTACAGCTGTAATGCAAAAGTTTATGTATGAAATGATAATAATGCTTCTGGAAATTATTTGATTGATCCTGATCTTAACACTTAGAGATCTCAATGTTTGTAGGAAATTCACCGATTTCATCATCATCTCCTTTAGAAAGTGATAGTCAGACACTCTCTTCTTTCTGAATTCTAATTTTTCTGGCAGCTTAATGTCTTCTTAGAAAATTTTCTCTATCATTTAGCAATTTCTGTATTTTATTTTGATCTGATCTGGAGATTTGACCTTCATTTCATGACTTTACTTCAGTTTAAAAACTCATTCTAATTACACCTTTTTAAGTTATATACTTTCCTTGTTTCTGAATACAAACAGGACTTCACTAATTTGATAACAATATTTGGATGATCACTAATTTGATAACCAAGACTACATCAAATAGCTATAGTAACATAATTATTTTGATATTGTTACGAAATGCCCAGCTGCTGTAAGATAGCTTTCCTGCAAAGCAGGTTTAGAATTTCCAGAAAATGACAAGGAAAGGCAGGGTTGCCGGAATTGGCGTGAAATCACATATTTGGTGACAAAATTAGCAATATGCCATAGATGGAGCGAGAACATTGTAGAACGAATTATTACTGGTTTTTCCCAGATTATTCTCGAAGCCAGGTCGAAAGCTACATAAACTCTGTCTGTACGCTGAGTAGCAGTGTACTGTGAGTTTATTATGAGGAATAGCTTGAGTTCAGTAGTAGTGTCGTAAGTTCAGAGGTTAGCTTGAGAGCGACCAAACTGAGTCAAGAGTTGTACTTTAGAACTTTGCCATGAAACTGTCTTCAACATTATAATCTAATATCCTGAAGGATGTGTTGCTGATTGTTTCAGCATGTTTTTCATAGACTGTAATGCATTTTAGGAACTGTCTTGAGTAACACTGGCGAATAAATTGTATTTTGATTCATCAAGTGCTGTCGTCCATCACTCCAAGTCCATGAACCTGTAGAACGCAACAATACTTCCATACTTTACTATCAATCATAAAAATTGATGAGATTCCTACCAATGACTTCAGCTAAAGTATGAAGGAACAGATCACACTTTATTTAGTTGAATAATCACAGCCCTCTCCTTATTTAGCCTGATAATCAGAAGACCATGTTATGGATATAAAATATGAAAAACTAGAATAAATATGAGCTCAAACCTTGAGAGTATGTGACATGAAAATTCATTAAAATTTAAACAAATCACTTCAGCTGAAACAAATTTTCTAATAGCATTTAAAATAGCAATCCTGGACCACTGGTTGGGTTGAATCAGAAGTAACATATTACCAAATGTAAGCAAAGGATCTGTTGCATCATAAGGCTTCATGTATTCATCTTTGCTCCATGGACTAGCTTCTTTGGGAATTTCCATTAATTCTGAAGATGATAGTCTCTAGAACAGAAAAAGTGAACCACATTAACATTTCATAATCCTTATGCATTCATTAAACTCTAAACACTGGATATCTACTGTGGAACCTGAATTCTTTAGAGCATGCTAAATAATGGACAGAGAATCAAGGATATTCGATACAACACCAACTTCTCATGATCAGATTTTTATGTACCAGAAAATCAATACTGAAATTGTTGCCACAAAGAAACAAATATACCTTGCATTATTCCAAAAAACACAAATTTTTGTGTAGTCAAATTCACAGGAAACAAAATATATTAAACTATGATATTTAAGTGGAAATAATGCTTTGACAAGAATCTGTCAAATATATGTGAAATAACAATTCATCAGCGAATACAAATCTGCATTTAAAAAAAAAAAAAAAAAAAAAAAAAAAAAAAACCATATTGCAATCCAATAGAAGTGCAAATGTCAGCAATAGCTTTTTTGTTTTGTTTTGTTTTTTGTTTTGATGACACATCAAACCGTCCTTGATTAAAACATTAGAATATTTACATCAATAGGAAAAAGACTAAAACATTTTAAAAATAAAACTTTTGCTAATTTCATTTAAAATACTGAAATAAAGCAACTCCTTTAATGGGAAATAACAGCACAAAACAAAAAACATTAGTCTAATTATTTATCTTCTAAATTATGATCAGCATAATGAATTAATTTGTTTTGAATGGAAGGGCTCAAAAATCACACAGTTCCTACCAGCATTTAAGAAACTTATTTCATAACATTGTCATACTTACTTGATGATTTAACCTGCGATAAAAAAATGTTTATATCTTCAATATAACACCAAATTTTCTTTCCTACAAACAGGACACTTATAATGGCTACTAAGTAAACCTTCATTTACACACCAGTCAATTGATGCTTTCTTCTCTTTTGTTCCAAATTGCACATCAACTTCAAATTAAACTTACCACATTCAACCATTTTATCATGTAAACCACAAAATAACAACGTACTTCTTATCCAAAATTCGACACACAAACAAGCCTTTCCAAATCTTTTCCCATCATTCAAATTCACGCAACCAATTAGGTCATAATAGGGTTTCCATAACATTCAACTACTCAGGTTACCATAAAGGAACAACAACTTGGTGATAAACGAAACAACAACTTAGCGATAATCCAAGGGCAGTGGCGTAGCTAGGGTGGGGCAAGGGCGAACATGTGTTCCCGGGCGCAGCATCCAGGGGGCGCCAAATTGATGGTACGAAATTTTAGAATGAAGTGTTTTCCATTCGTGACACACAGAAAGGAGAGCAAAATCATCAGTTGTCCCCGGGTGCTGAAAACCCTAGCTACGTCACTGTCCAAGGGGCACCCTTAAATCTACTCTGGCCAAAATTTTTAATTAAGGCAACAAATTTATGAGTTTATTATTACTTTTTGAATATTCACAAAAATAATACTAAGCCCTTAAAATGCATCGACCCTTAGACAATGGCTAATCTTGACTATCTATAGTTATGCCACTGTCTTGAACAAGCATTCATCTTGAACACATTACATTCTCTTTTTCTCACTTCCTTTCTGGCAACCTGCTAGCTGTTGATGTTCCACTCTTTTTACTGCATGGAAATTAATTGTTGTGAAGATGTAGAGTAGGTACAAATCAGATCAAAAAATGGCAGCTAGCAACCATGTGCCTGTGAATGCTCTACAGCCATTTCAGCTTCAATTTACATTTCAGGTTGATGATGTAGTTATTTGAACATAATCTTTCTTTGTGAAGAATATCCCTTTCTTGAAGAAACAAGATGGCTGCTTGTTCAACTTTTTGAAAACACCAAATTGTGAAATCCATTGCAGTAGAAAGAAAAAAACTGATTAGTTGAAAAATATTGTTGTATGAGTAATTGTAATGAAGACAATTATCACCAGCAAAGAACACAAATAAATTTGGTGACAAGAGAGAGGACCACATATTATGACTTGAAAGGAAAAGCACCCATCATCTCGTATGAACAGCCTTTAAGCATTTCACTATATTTACGTAATACTATATAAAAGCTTTTTTCAATTTTTTTTTTTTCAAGTGGCAACCACTTTTATAAATTAGATAACAGAGGAAAATTTATAATTGTTTTAAACAACAGTTTGGATTTATCAAACTATTAATAGCCTTGTTTATCTTACCTTACTATAATCCTTCTAAGTGAAAATTAAATAAAAGTTAGTATTCATATTAACCCATTAACAAGCCCGCCCCTCGGAATGAAATGCTTTGAAAATGGCCTTCGCTTTCGTTTTCTGAAATCTCTCTAAGATGGCCCAGCCTAGGGCAGTATGTTTGCTTCCCCTTAGTGTGATGGATATGCCATAAATTTGCCTCCCCGCTATTGAATGGCAAGAAGTACTTTGTTGCGTTAGTTTTGTCTCTCCTCTTTCTTTGTACTTAGCTTGTAGACTTGTTTCTGTTAATATGTGATGTCCGAATTTTCCGAAATCTTTTTAGAATTTTAGCTTCCAAGCTTGTAAATTTTCAATTATTCAACATGTTTTATTGGGCAGTATTTTTAAGAAAGATCATTATTTATTTTGCTACACAATTTTTTTACTATTTACTTACCTATTTTATTTAGTTTTAGTAGGCCAATTTATTTTGGGAATTTTGGGTATGTATGCATGTATGTGTTCATGTATGCGCATATATATACATATGAATGTATACATGTGTTTACACACATATAAATACACAGACACATACACATGACGTGCATGCATACATTACTGAATACCTTCCGATAGCAGAACAATAGCTAAATTACTTTTCTTTTTTTAATTTATTAATCATTTGAGTTATAAATAAAAACTTATTCTATAAAAATCTCCTTTCTTAATTTTTTTTTTTAAATTTCTTAAACAACGTCTAAAACAGAAATCCTTATTTCCTCTTCCATTAACTTTCTAACTGGTAACAAATTTCTTATTACTTTAGAACTAGTGTAAGGTCGCCGTTATAGTAAAACATCAAGAAGAGTTCTTGATCGTAAAACTTCCCGCGCTATTGAGGGTCATTCATTAACTATTGTCATCAGGGTTGGGGGGACGCTTGTCCCCTTAGGCACTTGGGGGTGAAAGTGAGACAAAAATCCGGGCTATCCGTTTTTCACGTTTCTTAAGTCTAACAAAATCACGTGTCTGTCCGTTTTCAGGGAGAGATTTAAAATGACAATATTACAGGAGAAACCGCTAAGGAGCTTGCATAAAAGAACAAGAAAATCCAGGTCAAACTGTTAAAGGGTTAATGAAACAGATAATACAACGAATTCTAGATCAGTTGTTCTATATCTGAATATATATATTTGTAATAATTACTGCAGTTTTAATGCTTTAAATCCCCCTTTTATTGCTAAAACTAGAGTGATGAGCTTGTAGGCAGGATAATCGGTAATAAATTAAAATGTAAGTTATGGGAGGATAAGATGACAAATATCTGCTAACTGTAATTTTCAAACTCTGAGATTTTAAGCTACAGTATAGTATAACAATTTCTTGAATCCCCCCCCCAATCTTTTCTTTAAAATCCAGAAGGTTCACAGTATGAGAAATGCTGTAATATAATATTCAGTTAAAAAATTATTTTTTCTGAATATTAATACTTACATGAGATCTGATATAATTGATAAATTTAATGTAATCTATACAATTTAATCCCATCCGTCTACAGTATCCAACAATGTCGAACATATGCTGAGAACGGCAATGCTCAAACATCAATTCTGCATTATTAAAAATCTCCGAGCAGAAGAGGCAAAGAGTCTGCATGGAAAGATTGATCTCCTCATCCATGCCATCCCATTCCTCATCACTCCCACTGCTTTCAGCCTCCACTTCCTCCATTGCTGTACCTGAAACTAAATTAGTTTAAATATATAAGTAATGCAATGCATCAAGATGATGTTTGAAACCATACATAATGAGCCACTGGAAAAAATTCCCAACTTCTTTACTGATTAACTAAAATAAATAACAAAAATTGTATCTACAGCTAACTCAAAAGCGTTTTCATACTCGTCTATTTTCGCAATCAGACTTGTCACCAAATGTTTTTCTTAACTCACACAAGACTCATGTAAAGTTACCATTTTGCATTCATCTAAATTAATTTCATTGGGATTTTTATCATGGATATGAAAATTTGGGACTTACCAAACAATGAAACATTTTCAATGCAATTTCTGAAAGAATGAGGAAGTCATTCACTGTGAAAGAAAGCATATGAAAATCATGAAATAAAGCTCTTATCTCAGTTCTAAGAAAACACTGAAATGGAGATATACAAATATGATGTGCCAAAAAAAAAAAAAAAAAAAAAAGGGAGGATGACATGCTGAAAATTGGGTTTGAAAGATCAAGAATCCATTTTTTTAATGCCAATTCACTTCATTTATCCATGGTGTTTAGAATTAACATCAAATTTTGTCTCCATCAACTTGATGGGAATCACTGCACTGTTGAATGGAACAGATGCGTAAGGAAAGATTGAGATTTTTATGCTTTGAACTTTTTCGCCAAATCGTCAGCATCTGGCGATACCTGAATCTGGTGCGGATAACAGAAAAGTATTAGCATTTTTAACCTGATGACAGTAAATAACAAAGAAGGGAAGAACACCACTCATTATAATTAACAGACATATAGTATTAACCACATATAAAAAACATATTCTGCATGTTAAAGTTCTTGAAAATGCATGTAAATTAACATTTACCAATATTTCAAGCAATTTAATCCATAAAATACATTCATTGGTTAGAGTAGAGAGAAGAGTACCCTTTGTATTATCCCGAAGTTGTGGTCTTATTTATTGCCAAGTGGTAGTTTATTTATGGTAGCCTGAGTAGTTGAATGTTATGCACACCCTATTATGATGTAATCAGTTGCATGATTGCGGTGAACTTGTAAGGGCTTGTCGTGTGTGTTGGTTAGGAAGTACATTGCTTGTTTTCTGGTTTAGACGGTAAAATGGCTGAATGTGGTAAGGTTAATTTGAAGTTTCTGTAGGATTTGGAAAGAAAGGAGAAAAGAGCATTACTTGAATGGTGTGTAAATGAAGGTTTGCTTAGTAGCCATTATTAAGTGCCCTGTTTGTAGGGAGGAAATGTGTATAGTCGGATGGATATTTTTTACTCTTATTTTGTGAATTTATGTGGCGATGCCAGTATACAGATTCTAATTCAGATAATTTTAGGAAGTTTTGAATGCTGTTAAAGAATTTTGTTTGACTGAAGACGTGTTAATTCATAAATAAGGTATTCTTTTTTGTACGAATTTCCTTTTTTTATGTTATTTCATTGTTTGATTTAAAATGTAGTTTACTGAGATTATGTATTTTTTTGTTGATTGCTCCTTTGACTTTTTAAGTGAATATAGTTTAATGTGTACATGGACAAGTCATGGGAGTGCACAATGCCTAGTTTGTGCAATTCTCTGATTTTTTTTTAGTGAAAATAGGTCGATATGTACAAGGATAAAGTGTAGGGAGTGCGCAATGCAAAGTTTGGGCAATTATGGGATTTCTTTTAATGAAAATAGGTCAATGCATACATGGATACCAATTTTGTGCAATTCTTTGTCTTGTTATTTTGGCTTTGTGTAGCGGCCAAAATAACAAGTCAAAGAATTGCACAAACTCGGTATCCATGCACAGCCAAAAATTGCAAAAAGGTACCCATAAATTTACTTTTAGCCATTCATTTGTTTATGTTAACTAATATTGAAAATAAAAAGAATGCAGTGTAAATAACACAAACATAAATGCCATTAAAAATGAAAAAAATTAAGTCATAAATGATGTTATAGAACAATATTTAGGTAAACATGAATGATATTGATTAAAAACGTCGGGAGAATAGTCAGAACTTCTTGTTATTTACAATACAATGTTTATATGCAAGATGAGCCAAAAGTTTGTTAAAACTTAAAAAATTCATGAAAAAGGGTGATTCACAAGAAAAGGGATCACAAGGAAGCTGTTTAGTTAAAAATGTCACCGGTAGAGGACACTGATGACCTGAAACACAATGAACAGGACAACAATGCACTCCATTCATTTATTCTTGCAATAACAATTATTCAACATGACCTCTAAAATTTTGTACGAGAAAATTAAGGCGACTCACAATGCCCTTCACATGCAACATGTTGGAATCAATTGCAGAAACCTCACGACAAACAAAATCTTTGAGTTCGGCCAATGTTAAAGGGGGAAAATGGTGCACGTGATTTCAAATAGCCCAACCCCAGAAGTTGACTGGAGTGAGGTTGGGTAATCGTGGAGACCATGCGATCTTGCAACCTCGAAAGATTACTCGGTCATCACCAAAGGTACTCGATAGGAATCCTTTTACTGGATTGGCAGTGTGACAATGTGCCATCATGCATAAAGCTTATTACAGACAACGCATCTCTTTGATTTAAGATGGGCATGGCTTTGTCACACAAAAGAGTGAGATAAAGTTCAACAGTTACTGTGCATGTTTTCCAGGCAGATATGGGACACAGCTCTTCAAAGAAGAATGATCTGTTAATGAAAGATGAGGTGAAACTACACCAGACTGTCAACATGGCTGGATGCACTGACTTCATTGCGTATTCACGAAGATCCAGTGTCTCCCATATAGGAGTGCTCTGGGTGTTAACACAACTGTTCAGTGTGAAGTGCGCATCATCCATCCAGAAAACATTCAACAACACACAACTGCTGAGGGTAAGTTTCAATTCTTGCCATAGCCGATTCAACAAATGATTCCCTCATAGTTTTCAGGTTGTAACTCATGCAGTGACTGCAACTGGTAGGGATAGAGATGCAATATTCCGTGGAGGATATGTCGAATCGATGAGTGACGCACAAATATCCTTCCAACTTCGCGAGCACTGCTACTCCGATTCCGCCGCTATACAGTCAAAAGTCTTTAATCCAAACTCGTCAGGACTTCGGAGATTCCAGATTATCGGTTTTTCCGTATTATAGATCATCAATTTAAATCTGGTAAGATGGCATGCAGAAATTATAAAATTAAAAATATGAAACCGTAATTTATGAAATAAAGAGCAATTATAATCTAAAAGGTACCAAATTTACAAAAAAAAAAGCTTAATATTTATTTGTTTACTTTATTAAACATTTCTTTCAGCGCGCGCACGCGCAAGGCATACATTACGCATAGTCGAAATTAGAAAAGTGCAACTAGAAAACTATTTGATCTGTTTTCATGATATTTATAATGAAGAGGAATTTGATTTAAATCATATCAAAGACGGAATACATCGAGATGAAATACTACATTTAGTAAGGAATTATAAGCCGAATAAAATAAAAACATCTGCCCTGAAGATAAGGATAGTGCTGACAGATCAACTTCCAGTTCATTGCGCACCGCGACGTTACCCCCCCCCCCCCCCGCAGAGCAGTGTGAAATTGATAAACACATTTCGGAATGGTTAGAGAAACAAAGGATATGCCTTTATCATTTTTTTGCAGTAATTCCACTTTTTGTTTGATGGACATCGAAACATGCTTTCGCTTTGTAGATCCTTTGCAGCTCCGGAATTGGAAATTCTTTTTGACATAATCGAAAGTTCAAGCTTACTTTTATAAAATTGCTCTAACAGTCTGCAAAAAATAATAAGCCGGATCCAATTAGAAGATTAAGGAACAACGCAATCAGCAACATTAACTGAAATAGATAATTAGATAATTTTAGCTTAACTTATACCGTCCGTTATACATTAAATGTGCATGCGTAAACGTATTATGCGGATGCATTAGGTACGCATGCGCAGAAAGTTTATAGCTTTGAGGTCCGGATTAAAGACTTTTGACTGTATTATTCATAGTGGTTTGCAATGCAGTAATTTGGCCCTTCGCCAACAAAGGTTTTCCATTTCGTGGCCGATCCTCTTTAAGAGCCAGTTTCTGCAAACCATTTGACAAGCTTCAATATTCCAAAACATGATATGGGGCCATTCTTCACTTTCAATCCTTTTGCCGTGTGAGTATTTAGCAATACAACAGTTACTGGCTTTCCATTCAAGCAGAAAAACTTTGCCAACAATGCTCACAGGTAATGATAACATTCTGAAATTGTGAGAAATTCTTGTGTTTCATGATCTTTTTTTGCCAGATTAATTTTCATAATTCTGCTTAATCTCTCACATGTCAGCACCCTCTACTGGTGACATTTTTAATTAAATTTTTTTTTTTTTTTTTTACTGCTAAAAAAATCTGACTTCACTGTGAGCCCTTTCTTGCAAATCACACTTCTTTATCATTTCTTCCCCTTTCAAGAAATTTTAGTCTTAACAAACTTTTAACTCACCCTGTATTTATGACTATATACAAGTAAATTATAGCATCATCTAATATCATTACAGTTATCACACAGAAATTTCTTATCCCTTTCATTTCTGCCCTTAGAACGTCTTATTTTATGGTGATAGTAATTTTCTTAGTCTTCTGCAATAAACAAACTTCTTTTTTGACAGGGCTATGCTAATCCTTCCCCTGATAATTGGAAATTAACTTTTTACAGAAAGTAAGAAACTAATGATAGTTACTTGCTTAAAATATTGTATAAATTGCAAATTATCAAAATGCACATAAAATAGTGAACTTCATAAATAAATTAAAAAATTAACATGCAAAAGTTCCAGATTATCAGATATCTTCTTATTTAATATTGGGTTATTCTAAAATATCATGCTTTTTGACAATAACTGAATAAATTGAAAGGCCTGATTATGCTTGTCAGGGTCCTAATTTATACTTTCCATATTTTTTTAAGATAAAAACTGGGTTATAAGGAACTACATGATGATTTTAGGATCTCTTAAAATGTGTTATTAATCTGTC